TCCAATGACACTAAATGTCAAAATGATCGGATGGTAGTTGTATCTTTAAGATCAGTGGAAACTTTATTACATGTCCACTGATAGATGTGTTCCTCCAGCCCACTGCTCTTTTTCTTCCATCCCCCAACCAAAAATAAAAATAATAAAATAAACAAGCTAATATCTAGCAGGATCTAAGGTTGAAGAATGTAAAGTATACATTTTACAAGTGGTTCCTTAGAAATATCAAGATATTTTATTCTGACAAATTATATTTTCTGATTTTTAACTTGCTTGACACTCCAGCTGAGTTACAAAACAAAATTATCATGTTACCATTTTTATGAATAAACTTTAAAAAGAAGGAAACAATATATTGATATATCCTCAAACTCAGATATTCTCCCTTCGACCATGTCCACTCCACTAATAAGCCTATCAAAGGCATTTTTCATTTGTCTTACAGTATTTTTTTTATCTCCAGCATCACTTTTTGGTTCTTTCTTAGGATTTCCATCTCTCTGCTTACATTGCCCATCTGTTTCTGCATGCTGTCTGCTGTATCCATTACAGCCTTTAGCATATTAATCATAGTTGTTTTAAATCCCTGGTCTGATAATTCTAATATCCCTCCTATGTCTAGTTCTAGAGCTTGCTCTGTTTCTTCAAATTGTGTTTTTTGCCTTTTAATATTTTTGTAATTTTTTTTTCTTGATAGCTGGACATTATGTATGTGGCAAAAGGAGCTGCATTAAATAGGCCATTGGCAATGTGGCTGTGGGTTTGGCCGAAGGGGATGTGTTTCATAGCCCTCTAGTCTAGTGAGTAGGTCCAGTTTTTTAGTGAGCCTTTGGGTCTAGAATGTGAACTTTATAAGCGTTCTCAGTTTTTTCCTCATTTATATTGAAGAGGATGGCTAGAGAGTGGACTGGATTTAGGCATTTCCCTTATCCAAGGTTAGTTAGGCCCTGATAATACCCCAGGTAGTTATGCTGTGTTAACTAGTTTCTCATGAAGTCAGGCCTTGTTAAGAAGAACAAAGTGCTCTGTCCAGGAAAAGTCCAGCAATTATTAATATAATGAGAATGGTTTGCATGACATCCATGTAACCCGGCAGCCAAGGAAAGTAGATGGGAATACACATGTATGAACAGTGATGACTTTACTGCACTAGTCAGTGGGGGCAGTAGATGACATTGAGTGAGCATATGTACTGTCTCGCCATCACATTAAAAAATGACTGATCAAATAGAGCAACCAATCTGCATCGAATTTTGCATTAAGTTTGAACATTCCTCCACAGAAACTATTTGGATGATTCGGAAGGCTTTAAGGAACAATGTGATGAGTGCAGCAGAAATAAAAGCGTGGCCCAAACACTTCAAAAATGGTCGAGAATCTGTTGAAAGTGATCAACCTTCTGGAAGGCCTGCAGCAAGCAGGACACCTGAGAATGCTGAACGTGTAATCAACAAAGATTGGCGACAGACAGTGCGAGAAAGAAGCTGACCTGGGAATTCCAAAAACTCCTCTGCTGGAGATATTGATGAAGGCTTTTGGCATGAAATGTGTCCTGGCAAAATTCAGTCTATGGCTTTTGCTACCAGGGCGGAAGGAATATTGTCCTGAAGTTGCTGATGACTTGCTTCAAACCACTACCAATGAACAAGATTTCCTCAACAAGGTCCTAACCAGAGACAAATCATGGGTCTATGGCTATGATCCAGAAATGAAGGTCCAGTCATCCCAATGGAAGTCACCTGGTTCTCCAAGCTCAAAGAAGGCATGGCAAAGTCACAGGAAGATCAAAACCATGTTAACTGTGTTTTTTGATTAGAAAAGTGTTGTCCATCGTAAGTATGCCCCTCCAGGCCAAACAATGAATAAGGAGTGCTCCCTCAATGTTCTTCATTGGTGGAGAGATGCAATATGATGAAAACGGCCGTAGCTATGAGCAACTGGTGACTGGCAGCTACATCATGACAACACACTCGCTCATGCATCATGTCTCATGCAGAAGTTTTTGGTGAAACATCAAATTGCCCAGCTGACTCAGCCCCGATACAGCCTGGATTTGGAGCCCTGAGACTTCTGGCTTTCCCCAAAACTAAAATCACCTTTAAAAGGGAAGAGATTTCAGACCATCAATGAGATATGGAAAATACAATGGTGCAGCTGATAGTGATTCTAACAAAGGATTTTGCAGAGTGTTTTGAGCAGTAGAAGAGATGCTGGGGGAACTGGGTGAGGTCCCATGGTGCCTATTTTGAACGGGACTGAGACATCATTGTCCTATGCACAATGTTTTTGTATCTTGTATCTTCTTCAATTAATGTCTCTATTTTTCATGTTACATGCCTGGATACTTTCTGAACAAACTTCATATTTCAAAATGGTTCCTTTCCTCTGTCCCTGCTGGAAGCCAGAGGGGAATTTCCCCCTCTTTGCTGTAGGAACCTGGGCGAGCTCCTGGAGGTAAATTTCACTGTATTGTGGGTGGGGGTGAAGAGTTATGACTGGGCCTCCCTGGAATTTTTTAACTCTTTCACTTGTCCACATAGAACCTCCCGCAATCCATCAGTTACAGTTCAGGGTTTCCTTTGTGAGCAGAGTGGTTCTCAGAACAGTTTCTGCTCCTGAGTGCCTGTTTCAGTAAACCTCACCCTCCTATATTTACCTGTCTATCTCTCAACAGCAGTAGTTTCTCCTGTGCCTTCCCCTTTTTTACAGATCTAAGGAGATTTTGTGATTTTTTTATAGTGTTCACTTTTTTACTTGTTAGGACAGCGGTGCTTCCAGGCTCCTTACATGAGGAACCATGTAAAATTATTTTATATCTAGAATCCTATTTTATAACCTATTGTCTGTCCTGTGCTTTGGCAAATGCCCATAAAAATTTGTTGAATGAATATATTGTAAGCTTAAGAATTTATTTCACACTCCTTTTCTTTTTTGTCCAGAGTTGATTATATATCCTAGGGTAACTTTATTACTCGGGGCTTTAATATTCTGCTATCAAAATCTTGGCTTCTGAATATCTTTTCTAAATTAAAGAAACCAAGGCACCTTGGAGAAATAGCTGAATCCAGGGCTGGGTTTGAGAAGTACAAAATGGGGAAGTGTACCCTGGACCACCTTGTTATACTAGAATGACAGATTTTATCTTACTTTATTTATTTTATTATTTTATTTTATTTTTGCTTTTTAGAGAGAGAGAGGAGAGAGACACACAGAGAGAGAAGACAGCATTTATTTTTTTTTAAAGTGGTAGACAGAGGTCAAAAATGTAAAGGAGCCCTTGAAGGGATTCACAATAGGCAATTTTGGAAAGTATGAACATTTACAATAAATAATAAAAAATGTGAATTTTAAACCAGTGACTACAACTCCCTGAGTCCATACTGCTAATTTTTATGAGAAAAGGAGTATGCCATTTTTATAAAGAACGACAATTGATAAATATAGAAGAAATTATGCAAGACTGTCTTTTTTGGAAATAATTATGGTAATAACTTGTTAAAGCAGGAACCCCAAAGGATGCAAAGATAACCAAAGATACTGGGTGAGAGTTTGAAAAAGAACAGCATAATTTTTTATATTATTTTTCAATGACTAATGGTAATATGGTAAGTTTATAATAAGAAAACATGATAAAAAACAATTTAACCATGTGACCACAGTAAGCATGACAAATAATGCTCAAACTAGCATCAGATACCCCCTAAAATGATACACGGAGAAGGTCACAGCATCACTTATGAAATATTCCTACCAAAAAGAGATAACCTCAACTAATCATGAAGGCTCATTAGAAAATCCCAAATTAAGAGATATTCTATAGAACCATGTGCCTATGCTTTTCAGAAGTATTCCTGACATAAATGGTCCCAGCTTAAAGAAGACTGTAGAAGCAAAAGTAACTGCTATTTTGGATTTTAGCTCAGTGAAAATTATGGTAGCTATAACTGACAGTACTGGGACACAATTTCAACACATATTACATATTAAATAATAGTACTGCATAAATATAAAATGTTCCTAATTTGATAATTCTATTGTGGTTTTTTTTTGTAATGCACCCTTACTTGTAAGAAAAATGTGGTGAAGTATTTAGGGGTAAAGAAAATGGGATAAAATAAATATGGCAAAAAATTGATCTGGATGTAAGATAAATGGGAGTACCTTTTATTATTTAAATTCTTCTATGAACTTCAGATTATTTTAAATTTATTTTTTAAACGAGTAGAGAGATTATGGGATTTTTATTCTTGCATGTTTGGATTTATAGCCTACTCTACAACGTAACTGTGTGCCTTTGGGCAAATTACTCAATATATCTAAGCCCTGTTTTCCCATTTATAAACAAAATGATAGTAGTAGTTAACTTCTAGAGTTGTACAAAGGAGGACTTGAAGAAATGTTTTTAAATTCTTAGTGAAGTGTCTGGAAGTAAACATATAAAAATTGTCATCCATATTTAAATATAATAATAATAATGAAGATGTATTTGCTTATTAAACTTATATTCTACAATATATTTAGTGTGAGGCTTTAACCAAGTATTAAAAATACATCCCTTAAAGATTTGCTCTCATAATTTAACATTGCAGTAGTCACATCAGCCAACATATGCCAGATTTAAAAGTTGGTATTCATGAACATTTGATTATTGGATCAAATCCACATTCATTTCTGATTGTATCTGGTTTCCTTCAATAAATGAGCCTCTGAGTACATGACTTTTAGAATAATGGCTTCTGCACATATCTGTGATTAATAAGTTGCTTTGGCTTCATAATCTATGATATAAACCATCAATATTTTACATTTTAATTTATCTATGCATATGAAAATGACCTAATTTAATATCTACAATTGAACTGAAATAAAAATGTTGAGTTTATAAAAAACAAACATTATTTCTAGACTTGATGTTGTAATATGCTGTAATAATAATTAAATTGAATCTTATGCTATTTAAATGAAAGCAAGCACTGTTCTATTTAAAATGTGGGAAAATAATACTTACCTGGCAGGGGAGATACCACAGTCACAAAGGTGCTTTCCCCAGGGAGAGGCTTATTCACTGAACTCTGGATATGCTGACCCTGCAATTTCCCCAAATATGGGAAACTCGACTGTATCATTTGTGGTAGTGGGGGAATGCATTTGTGCTTTCCTCTGAAAAATATAAAAAATAAAAATAAATAATAAAATGTGGGAAATAAATTGAATGGACCATTATCAATTATACATAAGTAATTATAAGCAAATTATTTTAGGATTAAATTTACTGAAAGATATGTTGACTTTGTATAATATTAAACCAATTTCTAATGCATGATATTAGATTTATGATAAATGTGAGATTTATAAGGTAGGAAAATATTATCCATGGACTAGCAGTATATAGTTATTTAAATATTATGATAGTAGAGGATTATTCTAAATATGATTTGAAAATGAAATTATTTCATTAAGTAACTTTATTACAAATGTCAGAAAATTTTAATTATGATTTTAAACCTAAAGAACTTATTTATTTAATTGCTAATTTTCACTTTAGTCTCTTTTATTTTGGATGTATACCTTAGTGAAAGACTATTTGTGTACAAATTCCTTCATACATGGATGTCTTGGCCTTCTTTTATTACAACTAGCATGTAAATAGTGATGCAAATGGGACCGCGCTTGGTTATGCTCTAGTAACCATAATTTATTATTGAATGGTACATAGCGATCATTTTAATCCAGGATCCTGCAGAAAAGAGGCTTGCTTGAGTGTGGTTGGTAGGGTCTCACATGAGATGGACAGCAAGTTGAACATTTCACCTAAAATGTCATCTGGTGCACTTGAGTATGATATTGTTATATCACAGAATTACATGCTTATGAGTAATAAAAGATACTGTAATTAAAAAATGGGTGTTATTTGTGCCAGACCCTATATAGTGTGTTTTTTTCCAGAAGAAACTGTGTTAGATGGTCAGATTACAAATCAGGTATCCAAATGGTAAATAGTACAGTCTTTTCTAAAGTCTTAGCTCACAAATAATTCAGGTGACCATGAGCATTGATAAAGAGTAATAATTTATTTGCCATATTTATTTTTTAATATTATAATTGAAGATAATCACACCAATTGCTTTACAAATTATTGTGAGAATTAAATTAGGTAAAACATCTTAAATAGCAATGAGTCTAGAAGATAGTATATACTCAAAAAACATTAATAAAAATATTAAGGATGATAATCATAATAGTAATGATGACAAATATGCTATCCCAATACCTTAGATATAGATGACATGTATTTGTCAACTATAGTACATTGATTCTATATACCCTAAGAGAGAAGGCACTGTATTAAATAAATGTTGCCATAAAATGAGAAAAATCATGTGATATAAATTAGTTATATTTACAGTAAGTGTTTAACTCAAAAAAATGTGGTATGGGTCAAAATTGTATAATTTGTTAAAGAGCCAGCACTAAAGAAACAAAAGATGGTGTTAAATAGGAATGCTAAAATTTGTTCAAACTATGGCAGACTCTCTACATAAAGAATGTGAGAAGTATTTGGGGACTCTCAGGCTAAGTAAGTCACTCTTTATGTATTCTGTTACTTCTCTATATAAAACATCCCATTGGAAATACATTCTAGGAAATGCTCTCTGTTTTAAGAAAAGAAACATTTAGTTCCATTGTAATAATTTATCAAACATCAATTTGTAATTCAAGTAATACCTGTTTTTGTATGATTATATATATTTACTGTATTGAATGTGAACATTTTATTTTTATTATATAATTTTCATTGATAATTATTCATTAATGGAAGCTAAAAGTAATATTTATGTCTATCCTGTGAGTTACCAGTATGTAAAGCACAATTTTATTAGATATACTCATTTTTCATTTGGATCAAAAAATATGAATGGCTTTACTTTACTTCATTCACTTATAGTTCTAATTTTTAATTTAAAAACTGAGTTTAATTTTTCAGTGTTCAGTGCTATCACTTTTTAAAACTATTTTTCTATAGTTATAAACAACTTTGCATAAACATGTCATTTTAAATTTTCATTAAAGTAAGTTCTTACATTATATTAATTTTACTTTGTATTTGAATGAGTAGAATTTTTGAAAAAAGACTTTAGATGTTTTAACTGTATAATGAAACTATGTATGGTTTATATCAAAACATCAACCATTACCAGAGTCCAAACCAATTTATTATAAAGTTTATGTACATAGATTTAGTAATCAGAAATACAGAAGGGAAAGTCTTTGTAGGCCTAGATGAATAGTTTCTGTGATAACACATCAAAGAAGCTAATAAAAAGAGCAGGTACTATTAGGTGGCCTTCGAAAGCCATTAGGGCAAGAGAATACTGGGAGTTTCTTAAAACTATTTGATCACAGTATTTGAGGAACTGAACAAGTGCTTCATGCTGTTACTCATTAATTGAATGAAACTAGTTGGTGAGTACTAGATCATGATGTCAAGTGTCAAAAATCTGGAGAATCTAGAAAAAGTAAATAGCTTCAGGATAGGTAAGGTGAAATCTGTTAAATATAAATATGTTAAATATGAGAATAATCATCTACTCTATATGCTCAATACCACTTAATATAATAAAGTAAATCAAGCCATTTCCTTTATATTCACTGTAATTTTTGTGAAAAACTTATTACAGCTCTAAAGATATTCTTATTGTTTAATATAGTGTGGATTGCAATGAAAGCTAAAGTGAGTATCTAAACTGCAGTTTTTCAAAATGATTACCACATGCAGAGTAGCAGTTGTGATATTTCTATTCCTATGCCATTAGTCTAGAAACAGTAAAGTTCCTGCTGACTTTCTTATAAGAGATCTGGACAAACAAGATCTCCTTTGGTAAAACAAGGTGAACATCCCCACATGGTACAGTAGATGAGCAGCACTGTTTTGTATAGCATGCTAAAGAAAGGATCATAGAAGTACAAAGAAGTTTTGATCTTCAGATTCAAACCCTTAATTTGCTGCTTGCAATGTATTCTGCACATGTTAAATACAATGCCTTTGTATGAATCATAGACAATCTCTCACTTTTGAAAAATAAATCAAATTGTATGCAATAGCAAAAAAAGGTTAGGTGAGCATTCCTTGTATCAACAAAAAAAATTGACTTTTTTTAAAAAAAGACTTTATTTATTTATTTTTAGAGATAGGGGGAAAGCAGGGAGAAAGAGAGGGAGAGAAACATCAATGTGTGGTTGCCTTTCACATGCCCCCTACTGGGGACCTGGCCAACAACTCAGGCACGTGCTCTGGCTGGGAATCGAACCAGCAACCTCTCAGTTCGTAGGCCAATACTCAATCCAAGAAGCCATACCAGCCAGGGCCAAATTGACTTTTATTTAAAGGTTTTGTTTGGGTTGGAGTACAGTGAAAAAAATTCAGGTTTACTTTAAAAAAAATCAATCTAGCCCTGACCAGTGTGGCTTAGTTGGTGGGACATCGTTCTACAAAGTGAAAAGTCACCGGTTCAATCCTAAGTCAGGGCACATGCCTGAGTTACAAGTCAGGCCCCTTCTAGGGTGTGCAAGAGGCAACCAATGGACGTTTCTCTCACACATCAATCTTCATCTGCCTTTCTTTCTCTCCCCTTTCTGTCTCTCTAAGAATAAATAGAATATTTTGAAAAAATCAATGTAGGTAACTTACAACATTAAGAAAAAAAATGTACCAATCAGTTTGGTCATAAAACTCTTTAACTTCAGAAATACTTTTCCATTCTAAGAACATGAAAACATTGCTATATATTTAGGGAAGAAAAAAAAAAACAAGTTCTATGTGTAAGGAGAAATCTCAGAATTTCTAATGGAATTCCAAAGGAACTTAGGGACAATTAAGTGTGAGCTGTATTTTGTCAGCTTTTATATGCATATATATTCTAAGGTTGCTGTTGTTCCATGCCGTTGAAATGGTCTTAAGTAATGACTTCTTAATGCATCCATATTTCCATTGTATTTTCTGAATCTGGTTTAAAAATAACTTTGGAAGAGAGGAATCTGTTATTTTGACTTCCTTTAGTAACTTAATATATGAGTCTTGATGCTTTCTTTTTTCCCCTTTACTTATATGTCCCTATGCTGTAATTTGCATTCTTGCTTTTTATATTGATAGATTATAAAATTTAAATAATTAAGTTACAGTAAGATTCAGACAACCCTGAGAGTAAAAATTTCCAATAATCATACACAACTACTCAAAGCCTTTTAAAAAATTTGGTGAATCTTCTTCAATGTGTTTTCTCAGGCCATATACCACAATAAGATTGGAAGATATTGTTTGTATAACTTTGTATCCTGTTTATTGGTGTCTTTATTTTCACTTTGTATTTCATTTCAATGTTGTAACAATGCTTTGAAAATATTTCTTATTGTTGCAAAATTATCCTTTATACTATTTTTGTAATGTAATATTATTAATTTCTGACATTAAATTACTTCCAGTGTGTTTTGCTCTAGTGAGTAATAGCTGACAAAAACTTTTATTCATAAATCCATCGACATTTTCTTAAAAGATGGTGTTAAACATAAAATCAGTCAATTGAAAGCAATGGAGTTTGATCAACAAATGAAGCAAACTTCCAATAGAAATAGATGGAGAGCAGGATGACAGCAAGCGGGGAGGGGAAGGGAGGTTAGGAGGTGGAGGAACTGCACAAAAATGGAAAAGGACTCATGGGCATGGACAACAGTGTGGTGAGTGCTGGAAGAAGAGGGGTGTAAGGGGACTGAATGGTAATGGGAAAAAAAATAAAGATTTTTTTTTTAAATGTGTTAAGTAAACTATCTTAGTTGAGTTTCTCCATTGCTAACCATTTGTCAATATTTCTGTTACTGTGTTCTGGACCCCTTTTATATTTTTCTTAAGATCTTCCTGGAAATGAGATGCCTAAAATAAATTTCTATATTCTAAAAGACCAGCAACACAAAAAAAATATTAAACTTTGCTTTTACCATAAGAATAATGTAGACCATGCATTTCCAAAATATATAGACTCTGTGATATCTGGCGCAAATGATGAGGCCTCTGGGTTTTGGTTGCTTCTTGAAGAGCAGCATTCAGGAGTATCTTGCTCAAGTCTCCCTTGTGGCCTAGGATTTTTTTCCCATTGAATTTCCCAATTTGG